GCGGAAGGGCGGTCTCCCTATGGAGGGGGGGGGCCTTCGGTGGAGCTCCCTATGGATCCACGAAACGTGTGAGGGGTGTGCCGAAATGGGTGTGGGTGACGCATGCGGCCGCGGGCACTGGGGCCTTCGGTGGAGCTCCCTATGGAGCCACGAAACGTGTGAGGGGTGTGCCGAAATTGGGTGTGGCTGACGCATGCGGGCGCGGGCACTGGGGCCTTCGGTGGAGCTCCCTATGGAGCCACGAAACGTGTGAGGGGTGTGCCGAAATGGGTGTGGGTGACGCATGCGGGCGCGGGCACTGGGGCCTTCGGTGGAGCTCCCTATGGAGCCACGAAACGTGTGAGGGGTGTGCCGAATTGGGTGTGCGTGACGCATGCGGGCGCGGGCACTGGGGCCTTCGGTGGAGCTCCCTATGGAGCCACGAAACGTGTGAGGGGTGTGCCGAATTGGGTGTGCGTGACGCATGCGGGCGCGGGTATTGGGGCCTTCGGTGGAGCTCCTATGGGGCTACGAAACGCTGTACTGGGTGGGTGAAACGCAGGGAAGAGGGGGGGTGATGATGATGATGATGATGATGATGATGATGATGATGATGATGATGATGAGATGATGATGATGGTGGGTGGTGGTGGTGGTGGTGGTGGTGGTATGATGATGATGATGATGATGATGATGATGACGATGATGATGATATGATGATGATGATGATGATGATGATGATGATGATGATGATGATGAATGATGATGATGGCAGGAGGGAGGGGGGCAGCGGGAGGAGGAGGAGGGAACGCGGGGCAACGTCTCTTCAAAAAGAGGACCCAACACCACAGGATGGTTGGGGAAAAAACATGCACGAAACCGAAAAATGCACGGGAAATGGACGTCCGAGCGATGGCGAGCGTTCGGAGGATCACCGATGCGACCCGTCCCGCCCCCTCCTCCTCCTCCTCCTCCTCCTCCTCCTCCTCCTCCTCTCCTCCTCCTCCTCCTCCTTCCTTCCTCCCCTCCTCCTCCTCCTCCTCCTCCTCCTCCTCCTCCTCCTCCTCTCTCCTCCTCCCCTCCTCCCTCCTCCTCCTCCTCCTCCTCCTCCTCCTCCTCCTCCTCCCTCCTCCTCCTCCTCCTCCTCCTCCTCCTCCTCCTCCTCCTCCTCCTCCTCCTCCTCCCTCCTCCTCCGCCTCCTCCCTCCTCCTCCTTCCCCCTGGGCCTCGGAGGCCAGGCAGGCCGGGGTCCGCTCGGGCAGGGCCTGCGCTGCCCCGTCGCAGTTCGAGGTTCCCCCCCCTCCCTTTGGCTCCCGCCTCGCCGTCGTCGTCGCTGTCCTCGTCCACGTCCCTCCCGCCTCCTCCTCCTCCTCCTCCTCCTCCTCCTCCTCCTCCTCCTCCTCCTCCTCCTCCTCCTCCCTCCTCCTCCTCCTCCTCCTCCTCCTCCTCCTCCTCCTCCTCCTCCTCCTCCTCCTCCTCCTCCTCCTCCTCCTCTCTTACTCTCACTGGCTTGGGGGGTTTTCGGCATTTGCCGCGTGAGCCACCCGTCTTCGGCATCAATCACAGCCACAGCTTCCGCCGGCAGTTGCCCAATCAATTGATGCAGGCCGCCCTCAGGTGCGGCGGCCGACAGCCCAACAACTATTCCTGAGACCCCTATGGGCCCTCAGCTTCTGGCCCGAACGGCCAGGCAGGGTGGGCTGCTCGACTGGCGAGCCGACGATGCCGAGGGGCCCTTCACGTCGTTTGCTTCGGCCGCAAAGCATTGGAGCCTTGTATACCCTCGTAGTTCCGTCATCGGAGAGCATTAGTGTCGATCAGCGCCCAGTAATCGATGAGACAGCGCCCATTTAGCGTCGAGTCGTGTCGAACAGCGCCGAGTTGGCGGCGATGATCGTCGATCCGCGCCGATTCGCAAGAGCCAACGAGATGGTCTAGGAGGCTCCCACGAGTTGCCACCGAATCCTGGCAGGACTTCCCGAGACCCTGTGGACGGGGGGCTTGGCCGAGACCCCCAGACATCGCGCGTTTTCTTTTCCGCAGCGCGGCCCGTCAGACATCAGGACCCCTCGCGGGGGACGGGCTTCCAAGAGGAGTCGCGGTTCGGTCGGATTCGGTTGCGTCGCAGTCGGTTACGTTCAGTCGGTTCAGTTCGGTCGGTGATCGAAGACGCCTACGCGAATCACCGCCGCCCTCTGCCTTTCGGAATCGCCCATGTGGCGGAACGTTGTGGCCAGAGCTCTGCCAAGCTATCGGACCATGTGCTCCCCCAGCCGTTGTGAAAACCCTTCGGGGAACACGCGGGGGAGAAATAATGAGCGGAGGAGAGGGAGGACACATAGGGAGGAGGAGGAGGAGGAGGAGGCGGAGGAGGAGGAGGAGGAGGAGGAAGAAGAAGAAGACGACGACGAGGAGGCGGAGGAGACTGATGATAACGATGAGGAGAAGGAGGAGGAAGAGGAGGAGGAGGCCTCTTGGAGCTTCTTGTGGGCCTCTCGGAGGCCTCTTGGAGGCTTTCTTGGACCTCTTGGGGGCCGTTTTGGGTTTCGTGGGGGCCTCGTTGGTCGGCTCAGGGTGTTCTGGCCCGTCTGACGCCGTCGGAAGCCATCTTGGGGGCCTCTCTGAACCGACTTGGTTCCCTCTTTTGGCGCCTCAGGGCCGTCTTGCAGGCCATCATGGGCGTCTTGGAGGCCATCATGGGCGTCTTGAGGCCCTCTTGTGGCCGTCTTGGAGGCTTCTTGAGCCGTCGTGGGGTCATCTTGGAGGCCTTCGGGGCCATCTTGGGGCGATTTTGGGGCCCTCTTGGGCCGTCTTGGGCCAGCGGAAGGCTGAAAAGAAGCAACGTGCAACATTCTTCCAAAAACCGAAGGATGATCAATGACTTTGGCCTCTTCGGGCCCTCCTGGAGGACCTCTTGGAAGCCTCGTGAGCCGTCTTGGGCCGTCTTGAATGCTTCTTGGGCGGACTTGCAGGCATCTTGCATCTTCTTGAGCCGTCTAGGAGGCAATTTTGGAGCATCTTGCGGGCCCTTGAGGCCATCTTTGCCGTTTTGGAGGCCATCCTGGGCCATCTTGGACCCAGCTGCAGCGGAACATCCTTGCCAGCCGGCTCCGTGCAAGCGTTCCGAGTGGCTGGCGCGCTGCGCCGAAGCCCCAGGGGAAGTGAAACAACCAAAAACCATCAGACGTACAGCTCGCCAGGCACCCGTGCTCGGAAACTTGAGCATCTACATTGCCAGTGGTGGGCCGCTTTTCAATCCCAGGACTTTTTGAGGGTCGGGGACGATCCCAGGGTGGTGTGGTGTATACTTGTGCTATCCGTTTCCCAGAGAAACAACGGAAAATGTATACATCAGGATCCCGTATACACCAGGATTCGTTTTCGGGTGCAAATTTCAGTGCAGGGCCAGAAAAAGCGTTGGTATGTAGAGTTCGGTACCCTACCAGTGATTAATCAACAGGGGACGGCGGATCGAAGTCGTCTACGGCGAATTACCGCCGCCCCCTGCCCTTTTGGATATGCCTATGTGGCCTAACGTTGTGGCCAGAGCTCTGCCAAGCTATCGGACCATGTGTCCCCCCAGGGGTTGTGGAAGCCCTTCGGGGAACACGTGGGAGAGGAGGAGGAGGATAAGGAGAGGAAGGACAAAGGAAGATGAGGAGAAGGATGAGGAGACCTCGTGGGAGCTTCTTGGGTCATTCTCGGGGCCTCCTGGGAGCTTCCTGGGTGCCTCTCGGAGGCCTCTTGGGGGCCTCCCTTGGCCTATTGGAGGCCTTTGGGTGCTTCTTTGGGGCCTCTGTGGCCGTCATGCGGGGTGCTTGGCCCGTCTGACGCCGTCGGAAGCCGTCTTGGGGGCCTTCTCTGGGCCCTCTGGGGGCGCTGCAGGGCTGTCTTGAAGACCATCTTGGGCGTCTTGGAGGCCTCTTGGACCGTCTTAGGGCCCGTTGGGGGCCGTCGTGGGAGCCTATTGAGCCGTCCGGGGGCAGTCTTGGAGGCCTCTTGGGCGATCGTGGGGGCAGTCTTGGGAGCCTCTTGGGCCGTCCTGGGCCGTCGGAAGGCCGAACAAAACCAATAGGCACACTCCTTCAAACACCCGAGGGAAATCAGTGAGTTTGGGCTCTACGGGCTCTCCCGAACGACCTCTTGGAGGCCGCTTGGTCCATCCAGGAGGCCTCTTGGGGGCCGCTTGGGCCAACTTTGGCCGTCTTGGAGGCTTCTTGGGCCAACTTGGAGGCATTTGGGATCCTCTTGGGCCGTCCTAGAGGCCATCTTTGACCATCTTTGGCGAACTCGATGCCATCTTGGCCGTCTTGGATGCCATCTTGTAGCCATCTGGAGCAGGAAAAACCCTGGCAACCACCTCTCGAGCAGCTTTCCGGGTGGCCGGCGCGCTTGGGCGAAGCCCCAGGGGAGTTCTTAAAGATAATGAAAAACCATCAGACGTCCAGCACGCCAGGCACCACTATGATAAACCAACAGGGGCGGTGGATCGAATGGACGTCGGCCCATCCCGCCACCGTGCTTGGGTTTTGGGTATGAGGCCTCTTGGATGTTCGTTAGGATCTCGTGGGGAGGACTCTCGGGGTCCTCTCCGCAGGCAGTTTCGGAGACTCTTTGGAGCCTCTGGGGGCCTGTTTTGGGTCTCTTGGGTGCCTCATGGGGCCGCTTGGGGGCCTTTTGGGGGCCTCGTGGGGCCTCTTGGGCGTCTGTTGGGACCTCCTGGGGGCCTCTTGGGGCGGAAGGCTCGGATTTTCAGTTGGTGTTCCCCATCTAGGGCCCAAGAGCTGGTACCACAACAAAACCTAGGGTCCAGGACCCGTTTCCCTTAGGACCCGTTTCCTACATGGCCAGACGACCCGATGCGGCCCGACGCTTGAATGGCGCTGCAGTGCATCCCGGCGCAGGCGATCCGACCCGATTCCTCCACCGCACCGTGCCGATGCGGCCCGACCCGACGCGCGTATCGATCCGACCACGCTTTGCGTTCCGATGTTGACCGCTCTGGCCCACCGCGAAGCCCAGGCGCTCTTCACGGACTGCTCGCAGGAGGAGCGCGCCCGGTGGTTCTCTCCGGCCACCGCTGCTCGTTTGACCGGGCCTGCTCTCTCCCTGCTTTCCCTCTGAGTATCCCTCCTTCCTTCCCTTTCTCCTTCCCTCCCTCCCTATGTATGCTTAGGTATATGTGTTGATGACATGTGTATGTATGTATGCATGCATGCATGCATGTATGTATGTATGTATGCATGCATGTCTGTATGTATGCGTATATGTATGTATGCATGCATGCATGCATGCATGTATGTATGTATGCATGTATGTGTGCATGTATTTATGTATGTATGTCTGTCTGTCTGTCTGCCTGTCTGCCTGTATGTATGTATGTATGTATGTTTTCATGCGTGTATGCATACATGCAATACTGCAAGCATGCATGTACGTATGTAGGGAGGTGTGTATACATGTATGCAGGTATGTATACATGCATACCTCTACGTATGTATATATGAATGTGTGTACGTATGTACGTATGTATGTGTGTGCATGTATGTATGTACGTATGCATTTGCATATGTATGAATGCGTGCATGTACGTATGTTTGGGTTATGTATGTGTGGTTGTATGTATGTACATGTATGCGTGTATGTATATGGGTATGTATGTATGTATGTCTGCGTGGATGCACGTATGTGTGCATGTGCATGTGTGTTTGCATGACTGCATATGTACATGTATGTATACATGTATGCATGCATGTATGTATACGTGTGTATGTGTGTTTGTCTGTCTGTCAGTATTTATATATGTATGTATGCATACATGCATGTCTTAATGCATGCATGTATGTATACATTTACCTGTGTGTACAGGCATGCATGTTTATGTATGTATGCATGTATGTAAATCTGTATGTATGTATATATGTACGTATGTGTTTATATATAAGCATGTATGTATATATGTATGTATGCATGCATGCATGTATACATGCATGTACGTATGTATGCATGCATGTATGTATGTATGTGCGTATGTATGTATGGCTGGATGTATATATGCATATCTGCATACCTATATATGGACATACTTATATGTACATATACATGTATACGTATACACAGGTATACATACATACATGACATATATCCAGGTACAGGGCCCTTGGCCTTCTCCCAGGTGCCTCGGTTCGCCATGGGGGCTCCGGGTTTCCTGGGTGCCCTCTCCAGCGGCCCCAGCCTTAATTGGCGTCACAGAGACACCAGAAGGCTTCGAGATGTCCCGCGGGGCTTTCTGGCAGTCCGATATAGCTTCAAGACGGCCAAAGAGAACTCGACGAGCGCTCCCCAGAGGGCCCCAAGAGGCAAAAACAGTGTGAAGTTTCCCTAGTTCTGTTGTTCGAAGTTTCATTCGCCTAAGAGCGCCCAAAGACAGTCCAAAGGGAGCGCAGGAACGCGACGCAATAACTCCAGCCTTCCGTCTTAAGATGCCCCCATGCAGCCCAAGAGGACTCGATGAGCGCTTCCCAGATGGCTGCAAGAAGCGAGCGCCTGTCACTTCCCTTCCCGCTTTTTATGTGATTTCGAAGGTCTTGACTTTCGAGTCTCCGTCGCTCTAAGACGTCTCAAGAGGCCCCCAAGACAGCCCCGAGACGGTCCAAGCGGCCCCAAAGAGGGTCTCAAGACGGTCCAAGAGAACCCCTAGACTGCCCTAGACGCGCCCAAGACACCCCAAGAGAGCTCCGATATGGCCCCAAGAGGGCCCCAACTTTAACACAATCTAGCACAAACCGCTTCCTTGTCAAGAACTGCGTTGTGTTAAATTTGTGTTGAATTTTGGGGGCTCTGGAACCGCTCTGGGAGCTCTCTTTGCGCGGGGGGGGGGCGCTCCAGCGGCCCTAGAGGGAATACTTAGATTCTTCCGTTCAAGGATGTCCCCAGACGGCCCTACCTAGAGGACTCGATGAGCGCTCCCCAGATGGCCACAAGAGGCAAACAGCAATGATTTGTCTTTGGTTTTAATGTCTTTATCGAGCTCCACGACGTCTCAAGAGGCCCCCAAGACCGCCCGGAGACGGCTCACTAGGCCCCGAAGAGTGTCCCAAGACGGCGCAAGTGAACCATCAGACGCCCCTGGACGCGCCCAAGACAACCCAAGAGAGTTTCAAGACGGCCCCGAGAGGGCCCCAAATTTAATACAAAATCCGCACAAACAGCTTCCTTGTCAAGGACGGCGTTGTGTTAAAGTTGTTAAAATTGTTAGGGCTCGGGGGCGCTCTGGGAGCTCCCGTGGCGCGCGCCCCTTTGGGCCTTCCCAGGGTGTCCTCTACAGCTCTTTTGGGGGCCTGTGGGGGTTTCAGGACAGCCCCGTGAGGCCTCTGGAGGCCTTCGAGGCCCCACAGATCTCCAGAGTCCGGAGGCTCTGGAAAAGCAAAACACGCCCCAAACACGTCCACAGACCACCACAGACCACCACCACCACCACCACCACCACGACCACTACGACGACTGTGACAACGATCATCGCGACGGCTGCGGCGGCTGCGGCGGCGGCGCCCGCGGGGGCGGCGGCGGCGGCGCCGGTCTGGCAGCCCGGAGCCTCTGGGGCCCTCCTCGGCCACCGTGGCAGGCACGGCACTTGCGCAGTCTTTGGGAAATTGTAGGAGACTTCCGACGCGTCGCCCGTCGATCATCGCACGCCTCCGCGGCCGCCCACTGAAGCCTAGGCTGCCCCCCGGAAGGCCCAGCACCTCCACGCGCCAAGGGCGGCCCTGGCCTGGGGAACCTCTCCTTGGGTACCTAGGGTTTCGTGGATCAGCGGAAGGTTCATCATTGACAGCGACTGCGCAGTCGTCTAGAACCTAAGCGCGCGCGTAGCGCGCGCGTGGTTCATATATGTATGTATATATATATATATACACAAAATATCCCTTTTTCTCTGCCTCCCCTCTCTCTCTTTTGTGGGTTCATTGTTTGTCATGTGTTGTTTCACTCGCTGCCTCTGTCTCTCTCTCTCTCTCTCTTTCTCTCTCTCTCTCTCTCTCTCTTTCTTCCCTGGTACTATGGTACATTTCTCTCCCTCCCTCTGTTCTTCACCCTCCCTCCCTCCCTGTTCGGGCTCTCCGGGCCCGGCGATCGAGCTACCCACAATTTCCAGGCAAGTAGGCGGACACACATCGCACAGCAATCCAACATTCTTAGCTAGTTTTAAGTCGGGCGTGTTCCTCTACAGGAGGAACATTCAAAATAGTAAAAAACATATATGGTGACGATTTTCTAGCATTCTTGGAGTATGGTTTGACAATCTTTTTATTTTCCTTCCAAAATCGGCCTGTAGGGGGACATGCCCGACCTAAGGCTAGTTTCCTCACAATCGGATCACCACGCTCTGAGACTCCCTCGAACCACTTTGATGCAAGCTGGAGCGCCAAGCAAAGAACAGCAAAGAGGACAGCTGAGACGAGTATGTGTGCAGCAGACCCACGGCATCACGCCACATCACATCACATCACTTGACATCTCACGCCGCCGCATACCACACGTCACACGACACCGCACCATGCCACCACCCCAGAGCATATGAACAACAACCATGACCAGCAACAGAGTTCAGCGGAGCGACGCAGTGCAGAGCATCGCAGGTTAACGACAGAGAGGCAACGCAAGAGTGACACAACGGATCAAAGCGCAAGAGTGCGCTAGTTTTGATATGTTCCAAGGATTGGGTGGGGTGGACCGAGGGCAGCAGCCACAATGATATTTCGGAGGCCCGCGCCGATGTCCTGGGTCGGCGCTGAACCTTTACTCTTGGCGCGTGAATCGCGCCAGGGGCAGCGCTGGAGGCGCCGCTAGGGGGTCCAGCGCCGATCCGAGAGCTCCGCGTACCTCCGAAAGTTTACGGGCATGCAGTTTCTGATTCTTCGATTTCGGCCCCGGTCCCCGCTCCGATGACAAGACAACGACGAGCGGAGGCGATGGCGACTTGCAAGTGTTTGTTTGTGCAGTTGATTGTTCTTCTACAGTCAACGCGCCTAGTAAGGACGCGCGCCTTCATCTAGGATACCCTTGCGTCCTTGCCTCTGTGGCCCGTCCTTTGCCGTTTTCACTGGTCGCCGTCGCTCAAAAAATCCCAACTGCAGCCTCCAAGGGTCTTGCGTCCTTACCACGCGTTCTTAATATACGTTTTGACTGTAGTGGAAGGTTGGCGTCAGCGTCAGCGGGCGTAAGAGATTGGACGGTGGGTGTGCGGGGCAGCGGGCGAGACTCCGGTCGAGGCGGCGTCACGATCACGCCGCCCGCCCAGGATCTGAAGGCCGCCTTCGCCGTCTTCTGCCCCGAGGGTAAGGACTCAATGTCCAAGGACAGCTTCACGAAGGCCTCTTCCGCGTCCTGCGCCTCTTCTCCTGCTCGCTCTTGCTTCCCTCTCCCTCGTCCTCCTCGCTTCCCCAAGGCTCGTCCTCGTCCTGCTCAACTTTCTCTTCCCTCCACCTCCCTCCGTTCCTCCCCCTCCCCCCTATCCCCACCCCCTCCCCCTATCCCCACCCCCCTCCCCCTCCCTCTCACCCTTTCTGTTGCCAGTCTCCATCGCGCCATTGACACCAGCACCAACATCGGCGGTGCGCCTCCACCGAGGGAAGAAGATGCCGATCTCGGGGATGGTGGTACTGTTCTGGCCTCCAAGGTGACCGAGATATTAGCACCAACACCGAACACATTACCAAGTCATCTTCCCCCTGTAGTTCAAGACCCGCGTAGCTGAGCCAATTGTAAGGCGGACTTCTACCACGCAACCGGTAGAGCGGTACTTGAAAAAGTGTTGTCTTGATCCCCTCTCGCACACAACAGTACAGTGTCTTGCTGTGGGTGCCCATCTCCAGGCCTCCACGCCTGGCCCCACCCCCCCCCCCTGCCGTTGGGGACCGGCTGGCCGGGCAGGTTTGGGCTGCCCGCCCCGGCAGGGCCCTGCGCCGCCCCCCGTGCCCCTTGGTCGGCCGACTCGGCAGGCAGAGGGAGCGCCAACGCGAAACATCCACCTCGGAAGCATACATCTTGGGAGATGCTTAAGAAAACCTAAGTTTTCGTCCAGAGTCTCGATGATTCTTAATTCTTCAATGTAAATCCGAAGATTTTGATAGAAGTTCTGGGTTTTATTCAATTTCTGAGACTATGAATTTCTTAACCAATGATTTCTTAAGCATTTCGCAGGGTGTATCTTATACGACCTTGAAGATCGATTGGGTATCGTTGGTGACGCTGTGTTTGAGAAGGGTGCGCATGCGGATGACCACATGGAGCTCAAGAAGGTGAGGTGATCCCACGGCTTCGTCTCCTTGTCCCCCCCCCTCTCCCTCCCTCCCTCCCCCCTTCTCCTCTTCCTCTGTGCCGCGCGCGGAGGCAGCATCAGGACTCGGGCAGCCTTCCGCCCCACTTCAATTTCATTTCAAAACGAAAGCACGTAGACACAAGTGATCGTCGATTCACAAGAAAATACGGGAGAATACGGGATGTGGGGGGGAAGACAGAAACCCAGAAGATATGGGGACATATGGGGAATCCTATTCTTTGTGTCTGTTCATTTGTGTGTCCCAGGGCCCCTTCACACCTGAGCCCTCCCCTGGGCCCCCTTCGTTGTGCCCCGACGGCCAGGCAGGTCGGGTCACCAGATCGGCGAGTCGAGGGTGGCAAGTCGCCCTTTCTGCTCTGCGCTGGACGCAGGCGACCACGGCTGAGTGGGCACTGCGCACCAAAGGCCGAGCGTGTGCGGATACGCAGGGGGCGGTCAGCGCGTACGTCTAGGTCACCACTTGGATCGCGAAGATGATCGCGCTTCGCTCGTTGCCTTCTCGAGGGGGCGCCGCGAGATTCCGGTGATCGTCGCGCAGCGCTGGGCGCGATACGCGAAATGAGGTGACCTAGTTGCTAGATCGGCGAGTCGAGGATGGTAGCGCACCCTCTCTGCCTTGCTATGCACGCGGGCGACTTTTTGCTGAGCACGGCACCGGCTGCGTGGACTCGAAGCAAACCATGTTGCGCGTGCGAAGATGCGCAGTAGGCGGTCGACAGGTACATCAGGGTCCAACCCCTGGATCGCGAAGGTGATCGCGCTTTGCTCGTCGCGGCCAAGGCTGGAGAACTGCCCTAGGGCGGATGCGCTAGGGCGCGAATCTATCCTCTCGTCACGCATCGCGGGACGCGATACGCAAGTCAAGATGATCTGGATACATGGGACTGGACATACACACACACACGTGCATGTCAGGCCTCATGCCTCATATGGATGTTTGCGGTAATGATGGCGCTGGCCTTCGAGCATTGGGCGGGCTCTCAAGAAGGAGTGGGGTGCTTCTGGAGCTTGAAGGGGGCGAGCTCGTGGGAAGAAAGATGCACAGATCCTCGTCTTTTCTGCTCACCATCCCGTTCTCTCCATCCCCCTGCCCGCACCCCTCTCGTGTTCCTGCTGCTGCACCTGCTGCTGCTCCTCCTCTCCCCTCTCCTCCTCCCCCATCCCTTTTCCTTATCGCTATTTCCTCTCTGTCGCTCCCCTATGCGTGCCGGTAGGGCGGGTCGGGCGGTTCGTTTGAGGTTTCCCAGCCGTTTATGATCCTGAACATTGAGCTTTGCAGCAGTTTCAAGGATGGAGGACGGGTCGTTTTCACTATGTGGCTCTCGCCCTAGCGCCGGCTGCGCACATTAATCTTAACCGCTTGCAGCAATGTTGAGGATGGAGGCCGGCTGGTTTTCCAATTGTGGCTCTCGCTTTGGCGCTACGTTCTCTCGCTTCACACGATTGCAGCAGTTTCACGGATGGAGGGCGGTTCCTTATCAACATGTGGCTGTCGTCTCAGGAATTGTGTTGTGGCACGGCTTAGGATTGTCAGCACGCAAAAGGCACGTTGATTCGCCCCAGAATGGTCTTCTGGCGCGATTTCGGATTGTCGGGCCGCAGCAGTCACGTCGGTTCGCGGCTTCGAATCATTGATTGGCATTGCTTGGCGTTGCTTGGCATTTCTTGGCACTGTGTGACATTGCTTGGCACTGCTTCGCATTGCTCGGCATTGCTTGGCATTGCCTTGTACTGCCGAGTTCTGCTTAGCATTGCTTGGTATTACCTGGAGTTGCTCGGCAGTGATGTGCATTCCCTTGCAATTCTTTGCATTGGTTGTCTTTGCTTGGTACTGCTTGGCATTGCTTGGCGTTGCTTGGCGTTGCTTGTCGTTGCTTGGCATTGATTGGCATTGCGTGGCCTTATCTGGCATTTCTTGGCATGGCGTTGCATTGCTAGGCGTTTCCTTGCATTGCTTGGCGGTGCCTGGCAATGCATGGCGTTGCTGGGCATTGCTTGGCATTGGTTTTGCATTGCTTGGAACTGTTTCCATTGTTTGGCATTCGTTTGAGTTGCTTTGCATGGCTTTGTATTGCTTGGCATTGCAAGGTATTGCTTGACATTGCCTTGCATTGCCTTGCATTACTCGGCTTTGCTTGAAAGTGCTTGGCAGTGCTTGGCGTTTCTTGGCTTTGCGTTGCTTG